CCCAGGTCATGATCTCAGGGTCCCGGGATCAAGCCCCGCGTCGGGCTCCCCGCTCAGCGGGGAGTCTGCTTCTCCCGCTCCCTCTCCCTCTGTGTGCTCACTTTCTCTCTTTCCCTCTCTCCTGCTCTTGCTCTCTCAAATAAATAAATATAATCTTAAGGGAAAAAAAGAATTACAGGGTTGTAGTAAACCACCCTCTAGTAGACATCGCTACAGAAATTTGAAGGCTCTGGTGCACTGACAATAACCAGGGCAGCCAACTCCTAACAAGAATAATATCAACTACAGCACTAAAGGCCTAGTAGAAAGAAAACTGTGCCCATTTCCAGGTATAGAGGTGATTTACTTTAGTTTCTACTGTCCTATACAATATGTCTGGCTTTGAAAAATAATTATAATTTTGTATAACCATACAAAAAGCAAAAAACAAACCACACTCCGAAGAGAGCAATCATCAAAACAAGACTCAGCTATGAAGCAAGTGTTGGAACTATCTAACAGGGAATTTAAATACATTAAAGACTATTAACAGAAAAGGTGGACAACATGCTAGATCAGAGGGGTAATTTCAGCAGAGAAATGAGCACTACAGAATCAGTGAACTTGAAGATAGATCAAGTCACCTGAAGTAAAACACAAAAAGAAAAGGGGGTGGGGAACAACCAAGAAGTGTGAAACAATATGAAACATTCTCACATATATGTAATCGAAATCCTACAAAGAGGTTAACAGAGCAGAAGAAATGGTTGAGAACGTTCCAAAATTAATGAGACACCAAACCACAGAGAATATCAATTAGGATAAATAACGAAAACAAAACAAATCTGCCTCATGATATCACTTTCAACTGCTAAAAGCAAAAAAAGAGAAAATCTTTAAGGCAGCCAGAGATAAAAGAGACATTACCTACAGAAGAACAAAAACAAGAATTACACCAGGCTTCTTGTGGGAAAAAAAAAACAACAACAAAAAACCCCACCAAAACAAACAACAACAACAAAAAACCCATGAAAACCAGAAGACAGTGGAGTGATTTTTTTAAGTACTGAAGGGGAAAAACAACCACCACCACCACCTGTTAAGTCAAAATCCTATACCCAACAAAGATATCTTTCTAAAAATAATGGAGAAAAACTTTCTCAGAAATAAATACTGAAGAAATTCATCGCCAGGAGACTTAACCTACAAAAAATGTTAAAGAAGGTATTTTAGGCAGTAAGAATTTGAATAAGACGGAAACTTGGACCTACGAAAAGAAATGAAGAGCCCTAAAAATGTAATTCAAGTAACATAAAATCAGTCTTTTCTCTTTTTTTAAGAATTGCACTAAAAGATGACTTTCAAAAGCAAAAATAGCAATGTACTGTGTATTTACAGCATATGTAAAAGCAAAATAAATAACATCAATAGCATGAAGAAGAACTGGGAATGTACGGTGTAAGGCATTTATGCATACCTTAGAGAGACTGTGGGTTCAGCCCCAGACCACTGCCAGTAAAGCCAGTCAAATGAATTTTTTGGTTTCCCAGTACACTATACTGTAGCATATTAAGTGTGCAACAGCATTATGTCTACAAAAATTATGTACATATCTTAATTTAAAAATACTTCATTTTGGGGCACCTGGGTGGCTCAGTCGTTAGGCGTCTGCCTTCGGCTCAGGTCATGATCCCAGGGTCCTGGGATGGAGCCCCGCATCAGGCTCCCTGCTCAGC